ATCTTTTGCCAGCAAGGAAACCATCAAAACAAAAAAAAAAACAACCTACAGAATGGGAGAATATATTTGCAAATGATTATGAACAACAAGGTGTTAATATCCAATATTTATAAACAGCTCATACAACTCAACATCAAAAGAAAAAAACCCAATTAAAAAATGGGCAGAAGATTGGAGAGGGTATAGCTCAGTGATAGTGTGTGTGCTAGTGTGTGCATGAAGTCCTGGGTTCAATCCACAGTACCTCCATTAAAAACTAAATAATAAATAAACCTAATTACCTCCCCTCCTCACCAAGAAAAAAAATTTTTTAATGGGAGAAGACCTGAATAGACATTTTTCCAAAGAAGACATGAATATGGCCAACAGGCACATGAAAAGATGCTCAACATCACTAATCATCAGGGAAATGCAAATCATAATCGCGATGAGATGTCACCTCATACTTGTCACAATGGCTATCATCAAAAAACACAAATAACAAACGTTGACAAGAATGTAAAGAAAAGGGAACCCTTGTACACTGTTACTGGGAATGTAAATTGGTGTGGCCACTCTGGAAAACAGTATGAAGGTTCCTCAAAAAACTAAAAATAGAATTATGTTATGACCTAGCAATTCTACTCCTCGGTATATATCCAAAATAAACAAAAACACTAATTCGAAAAGATACATGCACCCCAATGTTCACAGCAGCATTATTTACAATTGCCAAGGTATGGAAGCAACTTAAGCGTCCATCAGCAGATGAATGGATAAAGAAGTTACGGTGTATATATACACAGTGGAATACTACTCAGCCACAAAAGAATGAAATCTTGCCATCTGCAACAACACGGATGGACTTGGAAGGTATTATGCTAAGTGAAGTAAGTCAAAGACAAATACTGTATGATATCACTTACATGTGGTGTCTAAAAAATACAACAAACTAGTGAATATAACAAAAACAGACTCCCAGATATAGACAATAAACTAGTGGTTACCAGTGGGGAGAGAAGGGGTGTAGGGGATTAAGAGGTGCGAACGGTTATGTATAAAGTAAGCTACAAGGATACAACACAGAGAATATAGCCAATATTTTATAATAACAATAAATGAAGTATAAACTTTAAAAATTGTGAATCATTATATTGTACACCTGTAAATTATATGGTATTGTCCATCAGCTATACTTCAGTTAAAAAAGAGAAGAAAGGAAAAGAGTGGGACACTAAGGGACAAGACCTGCTGCTGGGGGCCATCACTCACTTCCTGACAGAATGGGAGGATCTGGGGTCGGTTCATAGATAAAGCTCAGCTGAGCAAGAAAGTTTCCAGATGAAGAAATGTTCACACAAATGAAAAAAAAAAAAACCAAGCGACAGGATTTCAAAATAAATAAGTCATGGGATGTAACGTACAGCATGGTGAGTATAGTTAACAAAACTGTACTGTAGACTTGAAAGGTGCTAAGAGAGTAGATCTTAAAACTTCTCAACACAACGAAAAAAATTTGTAGCTATATATGGACATGTTAACTAGACTTATTGTGGCAATCATTCTGTGATATACACAAATATCTAATCATTATGTTGTATGCCTTAAACTATATAATATGTCAGTTATACCTCAATTTAAAAAATAGTTTTAAAAAAGACACTGTATTTCAAGGGAGAAGAAATAACTCACCTGGAGCATGGCTTTTAAAATTGTAAACCTGAGTTGTATTTCTCTGGAGTCCTCTCGGAAAAGTACAGAATTGCAAGAAAGCAGCTGTGGAGAAGGAAAAAATAACTCCCAGATATGCCCCCAGATAATGCCACACTCCACTTCCCATTTCCTTGCTATGCTGCCCACCCAGCTTCCCCTACCCCAACACTTTCCCTCTCTCCATCTCTCTCTCTCTCATAGGAACTGAAAGGGGTACATACAAACCTCAGCCCTTCCCTAAGCCATGGAACCCAGGAACAACAGGATGGATTCAGAGCAGACAGGCTGCAGCACTGAGAAAGGCACAGGTGCCTCTGCAGAAGGGATTCAGAAGGACCATTACCCTAATCGCAAGATGTTACTCTGGACCTCAGGTGGGTGTAATAATAACACGGCCCTGTGCAGTTCCCCCTTCGCAGGTGCAACTGGATTTCTCAAGCCGAGTTACCCAAGTAACAGCTGAAGTCAAAGATAGCGTCCTCAAGCTAGAAAACCAGTATGTTTGCACGTGTTCACCACCTACACAAAGACTTCCAGAGGCTTCTAGTATACACCAGGCCAAAAGATACAAAAGTCACTTGGCTTCTCCCTGGCTATATTTGGAACCACCAAATTGAAGAAGGAGCTGCCCAGCCCATGCCAGAGACCACAGGCACTGAGTACCTGGCCACACAAACTAGAAAGGAAGCAAGACAAGGGTACAGACACAGCCGGTGATGGACACGTAGTATGAATGAGAAATAAGCCTGTCGTGTGAAAATACTGATACCGGGTGGTGTTAACACTGCATGGCCTAGCCTATCCTGCCGCTGCTACAGTAATAAACACCCTGCCCTTAGGACACCACAGAGATACACTTCAGGTTTATTGTAGATGGGGGACACAAACATGTATGTATTTTCAAAATGGTATGCAAATCAAAACCACTATGAGATATCACCTCACACCTTTTAGAATGGCTGTTATCAAAAAGACAATAAAAACCAAGTGTTGGCAAAGGTGTGGAGAAAAGGGAACCCTTGTACACTATTGATGAGGATGTAAATTGGTGCAGCCACTATGGAAGACAGTATGGCGGTGCCTCAAAAAACTAAAAATAGAACTACTGTATGATTCAGGGATTTCACTTCTGGGTATTTATTCGAAGAAAACAAAAACACTAACTTGAAAAGATATATGCACCCACATGTTCACTGCAGCATTATTTACAGTAGCCAAGACATGGAAGCAACCTAAGTGCCCATCAGTGAATCAATGAATAAAGAAAATGTGGTATGTGTGTGTATACACACACACACGCACACACACACACACACACACACACACACACAAGAAATGGAAATGGAATGTTATTCAGCCATAATAAAGAATGAAATTTTGCCATTTGCAACAACCATGGATGGACCTTGAGGGCATTACACTAAATGAAATAAGACAGAGAAAGACAAATATCATATGATCTCACTTATATTTGGGATCTAAATAAATAAATAAATTCATAGATACAGAGGCTAGACTAGATTGTTGATTGCCAGAGGTGGTGGGTAGAGGGCGGGCGAAATAAATGACGGTAGTCAAGAAGTACAAACTTGCAGTTATAAAACAAAGTAAGTCCGGGGGATGTAATGCACAGCATGGTAACTAGTTAATAATGTAGTATTATACACTGAAAGTTGCTAAGAGATTAAATCTTAAAAGTTCTCATCACAAGGAACTTTGTAACTGTGGTGACGGATGTGAACTAGACTTACTGAGGCGATCATTTCAAAAACATATGCATCTATTGCATTATGTTGTACACCTGAAACTAATACAATGTTTTATGTCAATTATATCTCAGTAAGAAAAAAACGTACTAAGAGCTATGGAAAAAATAAAATAGGAGAACAGTGATAGGAAGTGTATTGGTTGAGATGTTATTTTATTCACAGTGGTCAGAGAGGGCTTTTCCAGTTTGGTGACAGGTGAGGAAAGCTCTTGGAGAAGTGAAGAAGTAAGTGCTGCAGACATCAGGAGTGAGAAAACTCCAGGCAAGGGAATCAGCAAACTCAAAAGCAGAGGGGGCAGAAGTTAAGTTATGCAAAATATAGAAAATCAAGTCAGAGGGATAAGTGGGAATCAGATCACACAGGGCTATGGAAGCCACTGTAGAAATATTGGTTTTTATTCTAAGATGGGAAGCCACAGAAAGTTTTAAGCCAGGGAGCGATATAACCTGACTTACATTTTGGAACAATCACCCTGGCCACTCTGGGTTAATAAGGTACTGTCAGGCAGGCAGTGAAAGAAGTAGGGAGACCAGTTAATAGGCTATTGCAACAGATCAAATGAGGGAGGACTGTGGCCTAGATGTGGACCAGCTGAACTTCCACATGATTGACAGAAAACAGGGTCTTTGGGTCTAACCCCAAGGCCCCCATTATGTATTCAAGTAGGAAGTACAAATCCCCAGCTCTTCTGAATGGGCTTTTGGTAGTCAGGAACTGTCATAAAGGGGGCAAAAAATAAGATTTTAGAGAAGAAAAAACCTCAGAGAACCTTGATCTTGGCCTTCGGATGTTCGATAACCATGCTTTCCTCTTCCTCTTAGTGACAGAACTGAGAAAGAAATTGATCAGCCACTTAGCTTTTTTGGAATCCCACACTTCCTCCAGTCCCTCAACAATTAAGTAGAAGTTATAAGGAAAAGGAAACCACATTTATAGTTGTAACAATATGGATGAAGTACTATTCTGGGCTTAGATATATGGCAGTGTACTGAACAAAGTCCTGTCCTCATGGAGCTTGTAATTTAGTGTGAACTAGTGTCTCTGAGGTTTTGCATGTAAGAAAATGCCTTTTTAAAAAACCTTTCTATTTAGCTGAGATTTGGCTGTGTACGTAATTCTGAGCATACTGTCTTCCCTGGACGTTTTTGTAGACAGTTACCTAAGGACTTTAGACAGTCCTTTACTGTCTCCTGGCTTTGAATGTTGCTTGGAGAAATCTGAAACTCGATTGTTTCTCCTCATAGGTGACTTTATATATTTGCTTGGATGCCCATAGATTTCTTTTCTTTTTAAGCTTTAGAACTTTATGAGACATATTGATCAGTCAATATCAGAGTTTCCTTTAAACTTACATATTCATGTTTTTTGGTTTCTGTAGTGTCATTGCATAGATCTGATGCTGGTTCCTTTTGTAACTATCATTCCTCATCTTTGAATCAAAGATTATTTCCTGCTGGACCCACTATTCACAGAAGGAGAGTGTTGAAGATTGTCCAGAAAAATGCTCTGAGCTAGTAGGAAGCTTCTGTTGCTCATTTGACCTCTTTTATCACAGAGTTTTGTGTTGAAAGTTGGGTTGCCCTTTACTTCTCCTGAATCAGAGATTATCAGTTGCTTGCTTCCTCTGGCACTTAGTATCTCTTCTGCACCCCAATGCCAGCAGCCTACTTGTATAAGAGTAATGTCTATTTCACATCTCCTTGTTTAGCTCTTTCCTACCATTTGACAGGGCCAGATGAAGACCATGATGTTCCTGCCTGTTATAAACACATCTGGATCCCACTGTTGCAAAGCATGACTCATTCATTCTGCCCATAGGGTGTGCCTTCTGTGGAGAACGCTGTTCACCATTCTTTCTGTCTGAGATAAGAGAGAACAGCCACTGTCTCTGGCTTTTTCCCTACTTGGTTCAGTCTGTCCTCTGGTCTTTGCTTATGCACTGGAATTGGAGTTTAGCTGTCTTACTTTTATTGAAGATGTACTTTCTTTTTCTGCTTCTTCTTCATGTTTGCAGAGAGGAGAAGAGACAGAGATGTTTAGTTCCACCATATTGAAACAGCGAAGTCCTCTTCTATATTTATCCTGTGGATCACCTTCTTGGAACTTTCTTCTTTGCTCCTCTCTAAAGGATTCTGATTTCTCCTTAGTTCCTGTTATTGTTCATTTCTTATTCCCTTATGAACTGTTTACATGGTTCCTTTTCTCCAGCCCTCATTGAACATTATACATAACGGTTCTAATTACATAGAGACTCCTTTTTCCTTTACGATATAGGTGTGTTCATATCTTTGGGTCAGTATATAGCTGCAGAAATGACAAGATTGGAATATGTTGTCTTTAATGTCTCCAGTATTGTGAAACTCTTCACAACTTTGCCCTTAAGTGTGCCTTTTATGAGTGCTCTTACCTGTCTTGGTTCTAGAAGTTGTTTAACTTTGATCTCAGTTTCTAATGAATGGTCCCCAGCATTTCCAGCGTAAATAAATCCTTCCCCATCTCTGAGCTAACTTGCTGCTTTCATCTACTGGAGTGACTTGGTGTCTAAAAACATATAAGACAGTACTATGTTATAGTATATATTTTCAGACTTTGATGTCTGAGACTTAAGTTATTAACTCACCAACAGAAAGTAAGTCTGTGTCTTATTCTTCATGTAAATGATTCATGAATTGATTAATGTAGAGCTATATTTAGAGAGATTTTTCGTATTGTTTTTGTTGTTTTAAAATACTTACAGAACTTCAAAGTAAGTGCAGAAGGATTCAGTTAGAG